CAAACAAAACTGCCGGTTACAGAAGTAAAAATTTTTAGTTAAAAATCTAACAATAGAAAAATTTTTAACAAAAATTTTTTTCTGTAACCGGCAGTTCTGTTGAGAGGACGTGCTAAAGAAATATGAAAACAATACGTTTTTCAACTCATTAATAAAAAAACATTTTGAAACAAATAATTTCATCATTTTATACAAAAAAATATCCAAGACAAAGCATTAATATATTTGATTAATTTTATATATGTATGAAAGCTAAAGTATATTTAACATTATCGGTTTTATGTTTATAAAATTATAAATAAGTTTGATGAAATTACAATAATTTCTACGATAAAGTTTTTGAAATGTAATATACTCTAATTTACTTTGTAATAAATAAACCCTTAGGGTGCAGTCCCATTGAGCACGGATCGGAATGACGGATCGGATTTCTCACCAGAATTCTAGTGAATTTTTGATCCTGCTATTTCTTCCGATCGGAACGCGTATTTCTCTTAGAACATATATACTGGAAGGGGCATAGCTGACTTGCCGTTGTCCTCAACATCTATCTATCCTTGTCTGTACATTTTATTGCAATACGCATGCGTCGATTATGTTGATGTGTGTGATGACAAACTATACAAGCTTATCTATGACAAGCCTTCCAATATAATCAAGTCTAAAGAAATAATCATAAAAAAGTATACAAAACTAATACTATTTAAATATCAATGAAGTTTTTAAATATTTTTTTTATTATTTATTATAATAATTTTTATTGTACTGGTTACTATATATACAAGATATAATTAAAATAAGGTAACAAACTTTAGAGGACCGAGAATATTACATAATAATAAATATTATTTTTTTATTTTTCATTAATAATATATTTTTTATATCAGTAACAGTGGGTTTGACGGACATATGTTGATGTCAAATTTTTTTTCATGTTTGTTCTTGCTTTTCAAAGTTTGTTATTTTATTTTAGTTTATCCTGTACATCCTGTATATAATTATTGTTTATTACAGTATTTGTTTTTGGTTATGTGCATCATTATTTTTATTTTATTTTGCAAGACTATTATTACATATTACTACATATTATTATATATAATTTATAATATATTGCAATTATATTATAATATAACTTAAAAAATAAATTGTTATAATCAAATTTTCAAATGCCTTCCACTTATTTTAAATCTTTCTACTTTCAACTTAAGCGGTTATACATTCGCGCAAGCGCATTGACCGATTTCGTACAGACAAGGATAGATAGATGTAGGGGACACTTTTGTTATGTATATTTAGATAGGCTATGCCCCTTCCAGTATATATGTTCTAAGGTATTTCTGTCTGTTTAGAACATCCGGAACTGTCCGGAACAATGTTAGGTTAGTAACAAGCCAAAATGAGTGCCAAATATGACTAATAAAAGTGTTTTTTCATCCATCTCTATGAATTTAGGATATTTTTAGTCGCATTGAGGTTAAAACTGTCCAATATAAAACTGTCTGTTACAAAATATAGTTTACGTTTCTTCACACATGTGTCTGTTCCGTTCAGTGTTGCGATATAGGACCGGTTGTATCAGTGTTGCGATATGGGACCGGTTGTATGCGCATGTGCGACAATACGGCATCAGTACAGTGTCTCATACAAGTTAAACAAGGCACCGTTACCCCGCTACATTAAAAATATTTCTAAATTTTTTGAAATTGATTGAAATTTTCTACTTCTTGGTTTTTTAGCTGGCTTCGTAGATTCCATGCTTGTAAATAAATAAATCTTACCTTATTTGTAGTCACCTAACCTTCTCATGTCAAAACGTCCCGCCATACGGTCAACACACAACATATAACGGCACTGGATCTCCATCACCGCACATGCGCAGAGCCGCACATGCGCATACAACCGGTCCCATATCGCAACACTGCCCCCACACAGGTCGCTACTCTACCCGGTAGCTACTCCTACTCGAGTTGCTATCCCCGAGCTGGGGGATCGGAATGCGGCCCGCGATGGGGGAGGTGTTATGATGCGAAGCCCAATCGGCGCTTAGTAACAGCGCGAAAATACGCACTGTTACAATAAGAAAGCTCTATTTTAGTAAGTTTTGTTTTTGTATTATTTGTTTTTTGATCATTAAATCCTATTTTATTTTCTTTTTGTTGGTGTGTCACAAGTTAAATTATTTCAAACATAAAAATAAAAAAATTAGTTTTTTACTTAAGATGAGTAGAAAATATGTATTATTCAATACATTTGCGGCATTTACATATCAGAAAATATAAAACAAGTACTATTTTATTTCCTTATAAAAAGGGCATGAAACATTCATATGTGGTGCAAAAAAGATTTTGAGCAATATTGTATGCTTTACATGAGAACTATCTGAAGACTTTAATCTGAACATCTCTAGAATGTTATATGAAAGTCATCCTATAACATGTTTAATGTTGAGCAACGTTTTTGTTTTTCATATATACAACGTTGTGTGAACTTTTTGTTTTATACGGGATTATTTTATATTACCATGGCGTAACATATTTAAAAAAATACATTTTTAAACGCTGTAAATACTTTTAAAAATACTTTTAAAAAATATAATAAAAGAAAAAAATCAATTTTGTAATTCTTTAGACAAGATTTTCTACTTGAAAAAAAAAGATAGCAATAAAAATAATACGCACGCCTAGAGCTTTTTCCAGATGTTTTAAATCATCAGCTGCTAAATTAGATAAATCAAAATTTTCGGATACATTGATATCTGATTCATAAGATTTCAATCTTCTTTCCACTTTATCCAATTCTAACAGCCAAATTGCAGGTACCACGCTACTGAGATATAAAAATACAGACGGGCAAAACCTGGAGAAATAAGTAATAATATTAATAATTAGTAAAATAAATAATATTGGTAAATAACAAACTATTCTGTTTTTCTACCACTTACGAGGGTAATTCGAAAAATTTTTCGACCTGACACAGAAATGACGTTAGAAGTATTAAACTGCTGTAATTTTTACAAGTTTTATCCTGCAGAGGGCTACTGTCAAAATTACAGACATAT